TTATGTATACGTTCTATGTGCAGAAAATGGGAAAACATACGTGTTTTTTTTACCAAAATCAATTTGAAATATATATATATATATATATATAATATAGGGGACAACTCACCCCGAAAATGTAAAAAAAGAGCATAGCATGATGAAAAAAAACGCCGAAACTTGAAGAAAAAAAATTTTATTGTCTAATGTTTATTATTATTAAAGAGGAAAGGTCAAAGTATTTTTTGGGGTATTTTTTTACATTTTTAATCGTTCCTAGCACGTCTGAAATTTTCGTTAAAAATATTTTTTTTTTTGTCAAAAAAGGACAGATAATCAATCATTTTTTCATTTTTTCGATTTGAAAAAAAATTAAAATCTGACATTGAAATTTTTTTAAAAATCAATTATCAATTTTCAAAACTTTTTTTAATAAAATCAGAAATTATAATGTTTATTTAAAATATTTTGAACCAAACTTAACTTAACTTCTTTTGCGCCAAAAAATATAATTTGAAAATAAAACAAAGCAGGTCATAAACTTTCGCATCGCTTGACGATTGACGAAAGAATTCATATATTTAGATAATTTACTGAGGATAATTTGTTCTACGGATGGAAGGAAGTGAAATAATTTAAGTGAACAAATTATTTACCTTGTTTTTTTTAAGAAAAACTTTCAGCGCTCTAATTTTTATTTTTTTTTTTTTTTTTTTGTACTTAGCTTTCATTTTTTACGTTTATGATGCTTTATGGAAAATATAAAGAAATTAAAAAATAAAACTGTTAATAGTGACATTAAATTTCATAAGAAAAAAGATATCTAATTAATTTATAGTACCTTTCTTATGAAATTTTATCAGAATTGTACATAAAATACTATAATTTTATGTACATTTATTACATTCTACTGTTTATTTGTATTTGCATTCATTTTATTATTAATTTTGATATTTCATTTATGGAAAAATGTCATAACTGAGATTAATATAAAAAATAAGATCATATAAATTAAAGTTTAGCATAAGAATTTCATAAGATGATACTTACTTGTAGGTACCCTTCTCAGTTGAAATTGAAAAAATCAAATTAACTTCTCCATACGTGTTTCCGCAAAAGTAAAGGGCTTAACAGCGGAGAACAATGCTGAACTCAAATAATGCAACTAAATTGTATTCTGGTTGGTCTTCCGTATTTTATAATTACTGTCCGATTATAAACACAAAATTATATTTCTTAATTACCATGGGATCTTCTGATTGGTCAAAATGATACAATTTTCAAAGCGCTAAAAAATGATAATCTCATACGGACATTTTGAAAGGTTGATGTTGCTTTTAACTAATTTTAAAATATTTTAAAAATTCAATTTAAAAATTTTTTAAAAATCTATTAAAATTAAAGAAATAACAAATAATTGTATTAAAAATTCAATTTTTCATTGAAAATTTTTTTTTTGCTTTCAGAAAATATTGTCCATATTCATAAAAACAAATTAAAATAAATAAAAGCATTTGAAATTAAATAATATATTTGTTTTATTGAGTTTTGTATGTTACAATTCAGAGCTGATTTTCAGGTACTGCGTATCCAATTAAAACAAAAAAAAACATGATTTGCATTCCTCAAAGCCCTGTGATTTTAATTATTGTAATCACTATAACCGATGCGATCAATTTCTAGCGTTTTCATAAAATTAGTTATGGGGGTAATAAATATTTTTAAAAATATTTCTACCATGACTTTCATAAAAAAAAAAACATATTAATAATTTCGATCATCTGTGAATAGTTCCTGAAAGTTTCATTAACATCCAATAATTATTTCTATTTTTTGCACGATTTTTCAAATTAATGCGTGTCATACCAAAAAAACGTGCTAAAAATTGTCTATGTTATTTACTAGTTCCGCTGATACAAATAGAAACAAGGTTTTTTAATCAAAATTTAGAATGTTCTAAAAGAAGGAAAATTTTTTAAAAATAATTAAAAAAAAAAAAAAAAAACTTTGGTCTTTCCTCTTAATAATAACATAAGCATTTAGACAATAAAATTTTGTTTTCGACAAGGTTTGCGTCTTTTTCATCAAACTATGCTCTTTTTTTAGCGATTTCGTGGAGGTACCTATATATATATATATATATATATATATATATATATATATATATAAACGTGCCTCCACGGGTACATATACACTTATGTCTGTGCTTTAGTGTTTGTCCTATTTTATCAGTCTTAATTTCTATTCACTGGCAGATGCTTTTCTTCATTTGATCTTGACATTCTACATAATAATAATTGCTTAAACTGTTTTTCTTTCTTTTCCTTTTTTATCTATTTTTCTTCTTTGTCTCTTTTTAAATATACCAAACTCAATAATTAACTCTTGCCTTAATTCTTGATTTACAACGTATTTTCCTCATGAAATCATTAGCAATACGTTAACCTTATTCTGTCAGTAATATTCAGCTGAATTTTTGAATGCTAACAAACTCTTATTTTTTCTATGTACTTTGTATGGTGAAATCAATAACAATGTATAATGCCTGCGTTCTATCGAGCAGTTTAGAGAGAAAAAAAAGCAGAGATTATAGTCAAGTAATGGATGGACACGCAGTGGTTTTGCTGAAATCTTTAAATTATGACTTTTCATTTTGACCCCCTCCAATATTGTCTCTTGTCATCCGCAACACGATATTCGAGAAATCACTTAGAAAGTAGAAATCCGCCCTCCCGAACCACAATACAAAAATTCAATCTTTCGAGATAAGGAAACTGTTACGCGTAGATTCGGCGTAGTCAATGTGAAGGAGTGGTAAATGTATAATCAAGCGATTCTTTCCCCAAAAGACAAGATTATGTAAATCGTGACTCTTTTTTTACGGGGCAACATTAACTGCCATTATAAAAACGAAAAGTTTAAAGTTTTTTTTTTAAAAAAAAAAAATATTTAATGATTGTTTTCAGAGAAAAATACATGGAAAGAAATTAAAAATGCAACGCTTTGACTGATGATGCAGATTTTTATCTCAACACAGTATATAATTATTTACCCGCTGCCCCACGCAGCAAGATATGACACAAGGCCGAGTTTAAAGTGGGGTACCGAGCCCGTAGGCTCGGGCAAAAATTCCCTAGAGACCACGTAAAAACGGAGTCAGTTTCTCGAGACGAGATTCTGCCCTTGAGATAGTCGATATTCTGATAAAAATTTTCAGTCTTCGGTAATTTTTTTATTATTATTACATGGCAACACGTATGCGAGCTACGAATTGTTGATGTACAATCAAACAAGTACAGAAATTTAAATGTTTCAGAAATGTTTTAACAGATGGCGAAAATCGTGACACCAAAATCAGAAGGCGCGTTGGAATAACAAAAGATACCTTCCAAAACTAAATGAAGTAATAAGAAACGGGAATCTTGCATTAGAAATAAAGGAAAAGTACGGAATTGCTATGTAATATCAGCCCCCACACCTTGTATGGCAGTGAATGGTGGCTAATTTCCTCACAGATGAAGAGAGCAAGAGATGTGGTTCTACGGAAGAATCCCGAGAATTCCATGAACAGAGCGTATAAGTAATATAGAAACGGAAAGGTCACTAATGTTATAATTCTGTCTTATTTAGGCTATTCACCGTGACATCATTACAATTCACCCCGACTGACTCCAACAGACTTTCACTGATTCACTTGGAGTTCTTTATTTAAGGCGTCTTGCCTAGTTCATTTGTGTTACCGAGGTGTCTTATTTACTCTAAAACACAGAGAGACAGCTGAAATTCCTGGACACAATGAGGAAAGAAGGTTTATAAAATTTGATAGTTGCACGACATATCGAAGGTAAGAATAACAGAGGGAAAACGGCGAGTAACGTACCTGAGAAGCTTGTGTAAATGGAGTGTAGAACTGAAAGTGGAAGGAATAGTAAAAAGACAATTGGTAAGAGCTGCAAATAATAGGCAGTTCTGGAGAACCATGATCGCCCACGTTCTGAAGGAACGTGGAACACAACAACAGAAACGGCAACACTTGTTTATACACCATCTGAATCTGAGCATTACATGATCCAATGTGATGAAAGGGACCATTACAAAAAGTGCGCCATGCTCCAGATACGCTACGTATTTGTTTCTTTGTTTGTTTGTTGTTTTTTTTTGGGGGGGGGGTTGTTTTGTTTTTGTGTGTGTGTGTTCTGGTGTCAGATTGTAGGTCTTAGTAAAGGATGAATGATCGTTTTGAAGAATTGCTTTACATGTTAAACGTGACGCATTTACGGTGGTTCGACGATGGCGACAATGGTGAAATGAATATTCTTACATCTGTAGACCGGGTTCTACACTCCTACGTGGTACAAATGCTCGCCAAGATGAACGCATTGCTGTGTTAGTTCCTATAAATCAGAATGTGGTTTCAAGAGTGTCAAATCTGGTCACCAGAAATAGTTTGCCTGCAGCAGGACTGCAGACACTGATATCTCTTGGCAAACTTCCACTTACTCCGCAACATCGACGTGCACATCATGAATGGTTTCGCGAAGACTTGTACTCAATTGTTCAGTGGTGAGAGTAGGTCTTGACTTAATCCAAATGGTGCTTGTTTGCGTGTGTGGCGTAAATTTGGAGAATGACATATTCCATAATGTATTCACCCACGACACAGATCCAACTTCTAGCATCATGGTAAGAGATGCCATCAGGAACAATTCTCATTCAACTTTGGTGTTTGTGGAGGGATCTTAGAACAATGCCATCTACGTCTATAATATTCTTCAGCTTGTTCTACTACCATTCTGGTAACAGAAAGGTGACGTGGTCTTTCAGCAGAATAATGTCTGTCCGCATGATGCCAGTACTATGCAATGTACTCTGAGAGATGTTTTGACTATTTTTCTAGCCGGTCATCTCGCCAGATCTGTCTCCAAGTATTTATATTATTACAGGATTGCGTCAACAAATACAAAAGATATGGAATAATATATTATAGGGCGGTATTCATCTATACGCTCGGCTTATGACTACATCACATTGAAACACCGGCTCTCGTACGATCACTGAAGTTAAACAACATCGAGCCTGGTCAGTACCTAGATGGGTGACTGCTTGGGAACACCAGTTACTGTAAGCTTGGATGTGCGGGTGGTGTAATGGATAATGACTCAGAATTGTTAATCTGTTAACCGATTTCCAATTCCAGTTGGGTTCGTTATATTCAGTTACGCGCAAATACCCTGGGGGGGATATGAAACTACTTCTCCCCTCCCCCAGCTATAGGTTAATTAGTAGGACTAGTATCACTAAAACCACTATCTCCGCCCCCCAAAAAAAGAAAATTGCGCACAAAATATTTAGATAAAAAACAGATAGAGTATAATTCCACTGTTCGTAGCATTTACTTTTAAAAGAGTGCTCAATACAGAGTAGAGCAATATATTATTATTATTATTATTATTAAGAAATAATACAAACATGTTGAAATCTCTACACAAACTTTCATGTTTCAATACTTTGTTTGTACTTCTTCAGGTGATGGTAAATAACTGGTGATTCACCAATTACTTACCATCACCTGAAGAAATACAAAATATTGAAACATGAAAGCTTTTGTGTAGCGATTTCAATGTTTTTATTATAAACTCTTATAATAAAAATAATATATATATATAATTAATCTACGAAACTCGAGGTGCTGAATAGAACATCAATTAGCTAAGTGACAAATTTTATTTGTTTTAATCATATATGTGAAATACAATTCACATTTTCGGCATTAAATAACCCATAAAGGTTGATATGCCGCTAAACAAAACCAATCAAGCAACATTTATACGCTTCTGTGATTGGGTGTTTACAGGCCTGTACGTTTGCGAAGAGGATAATATGGAGTGTGAATATTGTTGATAGACTCCTCATTTTTAAACCTATGCCCGTATTGATGTGTAAATGTGATCAGTTACAGTAATCCAGCTATGTTATCTGTAAACTGAAAGCAAGTCTTCAGGGTGTTGCAATTTTATTTTCCATCTGTGTATATTTATCGAAACTTATATTAAAATAAAACAAGGATGATAGAAATTCTCCAAAGGGGTAGTGATAATATACTGTTCCTAACTTTAGACTAAAGTGAAATTGTATCGATATTACTTTCTCTGAAACACTTATTAGGATCTTTCAATTTTATTTTTAATCAGTATATAAATGGATACATCAATTTTGAATGATTCTGAATCCATAGAAAAAGGAAAATATTTACAAAGTTTACCTAAGTCTGGCACATGTTCAGGATAATAAGCACTTATTCAATTTTTTAGCCATCACTCTGCTATAGGCATCTGTGAGTTTAGATAAGTCTGGTAAAGAAACACAGTGAGACACCAGGTGAGTTTCGTAATCACGAAAATACTTGTAAATCATGTTATGTCTATGTATTGGTATGGACATCTTTGCATATGGGGAAAGTCAGTGAGGTTGCTTTCTCGATTGCTCACATCTTTGTCGATGGAAGTCAATCTGTTGCACTGGTGAACTTTGGCGATGCGTCAAGAAAACACATTGTCCTTCAAATTATATAGGTCGGGATGTAGGCTACTCATTTTAAACCAGAAACTAAAGCAAAATGTAAACAATGAAAACAGTCATTACTCACCACCCTTTGCTGGAAGGGATGTCCTACTTTAATTTTCAGTCCTTACTAATGTTTCTTGGAAATTTTGTGTGTGTGTATGAATGTAAAGTAAAATATGACCATAGCGCCAATGCAGTACAGAGTTCGAATCCAGTCCCTATTCTTAAAACGAGACCGTGTTGTAAACATTTTTGAAGAATTGTGTGGATCAGCTCTCTATTTTAGTGTTAAGAATTTTTATTAGCATTTCAAATGTAGTCGTTTTTTTTTTTTTTTTTTTTTTTTTTTTTTTTTTTGTTTGTTTGGGTTTTTTGGGGGGGTTTTTTTTTTTTTTTTTTCTTCATCGTTTCACCCCAAACAAGGCCATAATGCCACTAAATTGCAGAGGGTTACGAGAAGTAAGAAAGAGAACAAGAACACTGAGAATGTGAAGGAAAGAACAAAAAAGGAACAGGGTTTAAGACCGAAAATGGCGATTGACGTTGCATCTAAATTTTTAAAGATTGTAATTATCAGGGAAGCAACAAACCGGAGGGGAGTTCCACAAGTGGGAAGTACGAATAACGAAACTGTAAGATTAGAAGGTGGTTGCATCGAGCTAGTTCAACAGTAAAATAGTGAGACCTAGTTGCAATCTTGGCTACAGTACCAACCCGTGGCATTCTACAAGAAAGGCTCCCATAAGTGCATTAAACAATGAGAGGAGTATGTAATTTCGAATGGGAGTTATATGGAGAAAAGTTCAGCTATGTGCTCATTTTTGCCTCCCAAATCACCAATTCCCGTACGATCACTGAAGTTAAGCAACTTCGAGCATAGTCAAAACCTAGATGGGTGACCATTTGGAAATACCAGGTGTGCGAGTGGTGTAATGGTTAATGGCACAGTTTCAATTACTTTTTTGTTTTGTTTTTTTTTCGTTATATTAATTTGCGCGCAAATACCATTTGGGAAAGGTATGAATCAACCTTTTCTCCGCCAGTTATGGATTAATTTGTAAGACTTGTATCACTAGATAATTATCTCCCCTAAAATATTCTTACAATCTAAAAATATTTTCTGGCTTAAAATAACCTGCAATGGGTTGATAAGCCGTAAAAATGAATCAATCAATAAAATCCGAATTAATTTAAATTTCTCGGACACGTCTGAGGAAAGAGGGATACGAAAACTAGACATTCACGGGACATATTGAAGGCAAGATACAGAGGAGAAACAGCGATTAAGATACTTAAGGAGTTTGTGTAAATGGATGGAAGAACAGTGAAGCTGTAAAGGAAAAGATGTTTTGAAGATCCATGATCTCCCAAGTCCTGAATGGACACGAACATAGAAGAATAAAGTTATTTCTAGTATAACCACAACTTAAAACTGGACGACCTACATTCGCGTTAATCTTGACAAATAATATTTGAATGTTGTCGAAAATGCTACCCTCAATTGTGCAATGTTTTTTTTTTTCAAATTCGCTACATCATACTGTATTTTGTCTCCGTGGTTAATTAACCTGCTTAAAGGTCGCCAAATGTGACCGTTAAGCTCAAAGTTGCTTTCTAAGATTTTTATCTCCAGAGTGCCGAAAAATTATCGACCCGTTCAAAGTTCTCAAATCTGACCAAATAATTTTTTTTAATCCTCTAGGATATTTTATTTATGTAATTAAGTTTCTTGTCGTATATAGGAGAGAACATATTTTTTTTATTTTTATTAATTTTGTTTTTTTTAATCCGAGAAAAATTAACAGAAAAAATAAAATGTAATGTATTATCAAAGAAGTATCCCTTGTTTACTCGCAAGATATTCGCTCATTGGCTTCAAGAAATGCCTCCTGTTAGCATATGACATTGAAAGATCAAGGCTGCGTCACAGATTAATATAAAATATCAGCTGGTTTTATAGAATGAATTCTTTATTTGTTCCGAAAATTACTGTTGATTTTCACATCAGATGCATTGTTTATTTATAAATTGCTAGCACCGGTAATTCTTTTACTCGAGCGAGACAATTTTTCTCTCCGGAATCTATAAGTCTACCATTTGTCCATGCTTAGAATATTGCTGCCATTTATGGTCCGATGCCCCTACTATTTTCCTGGAGCTCTTTGATAAAATCCAAAGAATCAACAATATTATTGGTCCTGACCTTGCAGTTCGGTTTCAGTCACTTGCCCACCCACTTTAAGACTGACTCTCTGTGTCGTTTATATATATATATATATATATATATATATATATATATATATATATATATATTCATAGTAATTACTTAGATGTGCTCTAGACTATGGTACCTAGACTGTATGAATCTACTGTCCTCCTGATTTCTTTTTTCTTTCTCCTCATTACTAATATTTTCTGTTCCTAATTCCTCTCCCACCCTGTAACCTCTTGCGTGTTAGTAGTTCTACTGCCTTACTTGTAATGATACCGATGTAAAAAAAAAAAAAAAATTTTGAAAAATAACTTAAGCGGAATAAACTTCAGTTTGGATTTCTTTCGAAGAATTTTCTTATTCCTGACAAGTATTTTGAGTGTGCTTGGTTCCTTTTAGAATTATTCTGTAAAAACACCTTTCTTCCAAGATTGGCACACAAGTTTGTTAGCAAACCTTATATTTGGCGTCTTTCTTCGGTGTACTGTAAGTGTAATATATGTAAGTGTAATATATATGATAAAAATACTACTTCACTCAACCAATTAATTTTACTTTATATTAAAAAAATATTTCATGTAAATTGTGTGAAATTGCTAGATGAATGCTTATAGGATTTTTCAGCTTTGACGTTTCAGTTGAATTTTGGTGGTGGGGCAGAGTAATATCCCTTATTGTTGGAAAATATGGTGAATTAATTTAATCTTGTTCGTTTTATAAGTAAACATTACCATCAAAGCCGTTTCGACTGGAAGGCGCATTGTAATTCTGTGATTTCTCTTCAACATGGCTGCTCGTTTCATCTACTCAGCTCCTTTTGTGTTGCTTTCAACGCTCGCAATCAATATACTGAAACTATGCTTAGTTACAGTACACGTATGTACCCCAAGACCACGTACGGTTTTGAATTCAGAGATGTATTTTTTCTACATTGGTTGCCAACCACAAATAGTCAGCTTGCTGTTAAGATATTTGTGCGAAACGTGACTGTAACGATCTCTGTGCTTTCATATCACCATTTTGGCAGATTTTAGAAAATGATTGGTTATTGGCGGGAAGGTTCAAACTCTACTGCTATACCCACCAACATTCATCTGTTAGACAACACAATAAAATAGAAGGCATTATTTTCGGAGTAAGTCTCGTAATGTAAATGCACAGCTAATGAATGATTTCACTACAGAAATTTATCTAAGCAAAGTTACTGAGAAAAGGGGTTTATGTGAATAATAATAATAAATTTTATAGTAACTCCTGTTTGCAACAAACAGGAAATTACTGTTGAACCACGACAGTTCATAAATTTAAGTATGAAATAAAGACCTGAGACGTAAGAATATCCGGTCGTCC